TCTTGTGTCAGAAAACCAGTCGACCTGTATTCCTGGGAGAGTCATTGCGGATAATGTGCTTATCACACATGAGGTTCTTCATTTCCTGAAGATTTCGGGGGCTAAAAAACATTGTTCAATGGCAGTCAAGACCGACATGAGTAAGGCGTACGATAGAGTAGAGTGGAGCTTTGTTCATATGGTTTTCAAAAGGTTAGGCTTTCACCCTACCTGGATTGGTTGGATCATGCAGTGTATTACCACTGTCACTTACTCCTTCTTGGTTAATGAGGCGCCTAGGGGTTCGGTTATTCCTGTGAGAGGGATAAGGCAAGGGGACCCTCTCTCTCCTTATATCTTTATTCTCTGTAGTGAGGTGCTTTCTGGACTTTGTAGACGTGCACAAGTGTCAGGACAGCTTCCTGGGGTTAGAGTTGCTAATGAAAGCCCTAGGATCAATCATCTCCTTTTCGCAGATGATACTATGTTCTTCTCTAGAACTAGTGAGAGCTCCTGTAAAGCTTTGATGAGGATTCTTGGAAAGTATGAGGCTGTGTCGGGACAGAGAATCAATGCTTCAAAGTCTTCCATCTCCTTTGGTCTAAAAACTCCTTTAGAACAGAGAGAGAGAGAGTCAAAAGTCTGCTGGGAATCTGCCAAGAAGGAGGAGTGGGCAAGTATTTGGGGTTACCCGAGCATTTTGGTAGAAAGAAAAAAGATCTCTTCTCTTCTATAGTTGATAAAATCAGACAGAGAGCTCTTTCTTGGTCCAACAGGTTCTTATCGGGTGCAGGGAAGCTGACTTTGCTCAAAAGTGTTTTGACAGCTATGCCTTCTTATGCAATGTCTTGTTTTCAACTCCCTGTTTCGCTTTGTAAACGAATCCAGTCGGCTTTGACTAGGTTCTGGTGGGACTCAAAACAAGATAAGAAAGGCATGTGTTGGGTTGCTTGGCAGAAGTTGGTCAAATCAAAACAAGATGGAGGCCTGGGTTTGAGGGATCTTCAAAACTTTAATGCTACTCTATCTGGGAAAGGCTGGGGTGGAGGATACTGAGTAATCGGTAC